ACCACAAGATGACTCCGTTCACGTTTATGCTGAATAAAACCTATCGAAAATTCAGAGAGAAAGAAATGTGCACACAGCCAGCTCTGGTTCATTACTTTTCAAACCTGGAAGGAAGAGCAAACTAGGAGAGGGTTTGTTAGTTTATAGGATGCTGTAAAACTGGGCAAGAGAGAGTGACTATTTGCATAAATTCAGTTAAAAATAACTTTTTGGAATCTTGCTGCATTTTTGCCTGAATCACACGATTAAGACTGTATTGAGATTAAAATCACTTCTCACTTATTTAAGGAGCAGCTGTCAGCAGCACTTTGGAGCAAATGAACTTGGGTTCTGAGGACTTGAAGCTTAAAAAACGATGTCGGGGAAGCTTATCCACCGATCCTGTAACATTCCTTGTAGCTACTGCATACCCAGAAGTGGGTTTGGGCCCGCTGCTCAAAATGATCTAATTTCTTCCGGCCAGAAGCTGAGAATGAAACGACATGTTATGGACGAAGAACTCCACAATCCTGAAAGGAACTAGAAGTACCTTCTGGACTGGTTCAAAGATCACATTCTATCTAACTCTTCTCCTGTTCATCACTTCTTTTAGCTGCTGCCTTCTGGGGTACAGCCTTCCTTTCTAGACTGGATTATCCTGGAGGCCTGGTTTTGCATTAGAAATTCTCTGCCATGTGCCTCTAATTACTTTCATTCCTCTGTTTTGGCCTTTTCTCATCTCCTTTTACAGAAGGCATCTCTCTCTCTCTCTCTCTCTCTCTCTCTCTCTCTCTCTCTCACACACACACACACACACACACACACACACACACAAAAGAATAAGCTCATTTATACCAACTTATGGGTCCTAAATTGGCTTCATTTTCCCCAAGGGAAAAATATCTAGAAGTGTACCTGTAGACTCCCATGGTACTGTATATTCTCTATATTGCCTTATGGTAGGGAATTAAATGCATAATTTCTGCACAGAGCTTTTATTTTGCTAAAGGAAAACTCAGAAAAAGGTGACTTCTTCAGTCTTACTTTGTCCTACAAACAGCTGCATAAAGCCTTGATCCAACAGTATGGACTTTGGCTGGGTGGACTTGGGCTCATTAGTGAATATTATCTTTTTATGTAATGTTTTGTTAAACAGCTAAGTCCACAAGTGTTCCCAAGATAAGTAACTCTCAAGAAAAAAAAGACATGATTTGCCAAGTAAAGAACTATGATTTATAGTATTTAACTGCTACACTCAGGATCTTATTGAACTTTGTTTTGAAAAATTATTACCACAATAGTTCTGTAGAATTTAGGAGTATAACCAGCACCATTTGGCACGTTTATGACAATAGGGTTCTGGTTTTCTTAACTCCACAGTTACATGTTGGCAGCATTTCAAATTCTTGGCACAGATGTTGAAGTGAATTTAAAGAAGAAACATTAAAAACAAAACGTCAGGCAGTTTTGAGTGTCCAAGTGTAAGCAGGAGCATTATTTTCTTTTAACATGCAGTTAGCATGTGCATAAAACCATAAATTTGCTCATAGATGAAACGGGAAGCATGAAAACCACTTGCAAAGGGCTTTAGATTTTCTTTTCACTGAGTGCACTATCACTTTTCTGGAAGCATCTCCTACTTACATCTATCAAATGAGACTCAAATCTGTGTGAATCTTTTCTCTGGAGACAGGTTAGTTTCTGGAGCATGAATGGCTAAACCTGTCCCATCACACAGGGCCACACGGCTGTACCACCAAGATTCCCGGCTCTCACACTGACACTACTCAGATTCTGGGAAAGTAGCTTTCTGGAAATTTGTTTTAAATGCACAAGTAGGCCAGGTGCGGTGGCTCACGCATGTAATACCAGCACTTTGGGAGGCCAAAGCAGGAGGATCGCTTGAGTCCAGGGGGTTGGAGACTAGCCTGGGCAACATAGTGAGACTCTTGTCTCTACCAAAAATAAAATTAACTAGGCCTAGTGGCACGCATCTGTAGTCCCAGCTACTTGGGAGGATGAGGCGGGAGGATGAGGCGGGAGGATGGCTTGAGTCTGGGAGGTAAGGGCTGCAGTGAGATATCATCACTCCACTGCATTCCAGCCTGGGGGGCAGAGTAAAACTTTGTCAAAAAAAAAAAAAAAAAAAGCACAAGTAGTAAATCTACATTTATGTGAGGGAGAAAACATGGGACATAGGGCATTCCCCATGGCCTGCCGAGAGTAAGCTACTGAAGCTGCTGTCACCAACGGGCAAAGTGTTCCTACCAGCTTCCCAGGGCCCCACTCCCATAGTGGGCTGAGTCTCCACACACGCACACAGACTGGCACAAGCTGGCAGGGCATTTCTGGAGGTGATCCAAGTCCTTCATATCTCCTTACCACCCCATGTCCATTGACAAAATAAAATGTAAAAGTTCACAAAACAAATCGTCTCCCACTTACTGGCTGACGCTTGACGTGCCTCCTTTAGAGAATATTTTTATAGTTCATAATTAAAGAGAAATCTTACAGTTATGACAGATTGATGCTGTCAGATCACGCACAAATATAGTCCTGGGAGGAGATCAGGGCATACCAGAGGGTGCTGCTGAAGCAGAACAGGGGTGGGGGTGGGGGACAGGCAAACTGTGTTGTGTTTGAAATCTGGCCTTGTGCCATCTGTACAGTATGGAGAAGATGTCGCTCACTGGCCTTCACGCAAGACACTAGACAAGGATTGGTAAAGCATGAACATTTATATTTAATTTACATTTTGACAATTTGCACATAAATAACATTGTAAACCAGTATGTAAACATAAGATAGTTTGTTGTTCTAGCAAAGTAAAAAGCCAGTAACTTTGGTCAGTTTTAACTTTGAGTAGAGGAAAAACGAAACCACTGTTGATTGTGGGCTCAACATTCACATGTAAGAGGCAGAAGAGAAGGATGGATGGTGAGAAAAGCAGGAAGTCTTTAGAAAAATTCTCACTACAGAAAAGCACGGAAGAACAACAAAGGAATAGTTGGGTATAAAAAGTTTGGTCTAATGTGTGTGATGCTTTGGTTTAATCTTCAATTAAGGACTGTGTTTATCAAACACTGATACATAAAAAGCTGTCAGTCTTGCTAGTTACAGAAGACCAGTAAGGCTCTTGGGTTTCCCTGGATTATTCGACAATTTGTTCTCCTCTGCAGGTGAACATGAGTTGATGTGAATAAAATGTCAAATATAATTAGAAAATAGATTGACTAGTGATGTATCAGTATTTAGTAAGAAAGGATAGAGAAAAGTTACAGTGGTAAAGTCAGTTTTGTATTTCTGTGACTTAGGTGTGACCCCATAATGATAATGTGGCAAAAAAATTAGAGCCATCTTAGATGGTCCTGAACACTAAAAAATGGGCTGGGTGTGATGGCTCACACCTGTAATCCCAGCACTTTGGGAGGCTGAGGCGGGTGGATCACAAGGTCAGGAGTTCAAGAACAGCCTGCCCAACGTGGTGAACCCTCATCTCTACTAAAAATAAATTAGCTGGGCATGGTGGCACACACATGTAATCCCAGCTACTCAGGAGGCTGAGGCAGGAGAACTGCCTGAACCTGGGAGGTGGAGGCTGCAGTGAGCCAAGATCGTGCCACTGCACTCCAGCCTGGATGACAGAGTGAGACTTTGTCTCCAAAAAAAAAAAGTATTTCCTCCTCCCTGGTTGTTCTGTAGTCCCCACCACTGCACCAAGGCTTTAGGGCCTCTTAGAGTAGGCAAGGGGTGCCCAACATACCAATGTGATCGTGAGGTCATCAAGTAAAGCAAAGTCTCAAAAAGCCTTGTTTTTTGTTGTTGTTGTTTTTTTTCTTTCTGCCCTTAGGAAAAGTAGATCTTTTACATGGCTTGGCTCACAATTTAAGTGGTTATAAATATATATACATATGATATAGTGGTATAAATAGATTTATAAATATACATCATTTTTTGCTACACTTTGAACACCAACATGTAATCTTTGGGCTTAGCAGAATCAAAGAGAGAATGACACAGTCTATCTTGCTGGAGCACATTTACTCGGTTTCTCCTCTAGAGAAGCAAATCATGAGATAAGACATTATTTCCTGCAGTACTGGACACACTCAATGAGGTAACTGTTGAACAACTTTGCAATGCCCTTTCATCTTCCATTAAATTAACCATAAAATGTAAAAACACAAATACGGAGGAACAGCTGAGTTTTACAGAAAAAATACAATTGACGTGTTGGGGATAGGAATATTCATTACCCGCTCTTACCCCAAAATGACCAGAATACCCGTTTTTTTTGTTGTTTGTGTGTTTGTTTTTAAAGTGTGGCCTGAGCCTATCTACCTCAAATCCTTCCTGGTAGAGCACCATGTTTGTGCAATTTTGACATTAAAAAAAAAAAAAAAAAGCAACAAAAACCAACAACAAAACAACACCCAGACTCAAGCCCCCAAACTTCACACATACGCAGCCGCCTGTGCTTTGGGGGAAATTTCGCAGTGGTTTTAAAACATGGCATTTTGTCTTCTTCACATTTTCTGACAATGGGACGCAAAAGTCACGTGGCCGCTCTGAATGGCCACAGGACTGTGGGGGGCGGGGGCACCGGTGGTGGGAGGATCCTGCTCTTTTGTAGAGAGACAGGTTGGTAAAGCCTTCCTGTGATCCTTCTGGTAAAATTGTGGCTGGGGGAAAAACATGAACTATCAACAAAAACATCCAAGATTCCCTTTCTCATTTCTTCTACTTAAGTTATTATTGGGTAATTCTGCACACATACCCCCCCCAAGTTATATACACTGCTGTTCAAATGATAGGATCCCAGGAACGAACACATCAACTGTCTAACATTGGCAATACCCAAACCTCATTTTCAAACCATTATTAGAGAGAGAGAGGTTGACTGAAGTCATATATTTGTTTAGCTAAATCTTACGTACTTACAGAGATGTGCAGAAATTATCTACAAAGAATGGCCACAAGACAAAAATACATTTATATTCAAATTACAAGGAATCTTTCCAGTTATTGTAAACTTTTTTAATTATTGCTTTCTGAATGATAAATTGTATAATAAATTATGAAGGATTATCATTGAAAAAATAATTAAGACTAGGCAAGAGTCTTAGTAATGGGAAGGCTATGCAAACATATCCACACAAATATTCAAAATACACAGGCGCAAATATATAGACATGGGAGTAAATAAGTATATATAATATGTGTGTGTGTATATATATATATATATATATATATATATATATATGGCCTTTGCCTTGTTCACGCCCTGAGATTTCAGTAACTTTGGAGTTCCTTCTTTAATTCCAGAGGTGAGGGAAACCATTTGCTATCAAGAGAGCTTTGCAGAGCTGGAATTATGTACAAGCAACTTCCTACAGGCACCCTGACTCACCAAGTCATAACTTAAGAAACAAAACAAGTGTTTTCAGAAAATCTTAAGGATCCATTGGTTCGACTGTTTCTTGTTTGACCTTTACAGGTACCAGAGGTAGCGGGTTGCTGGGAGGCAACTTCATGAGGGGCAGATCTGATGACTCGTAAAGGCCACACCCTGAGGAGAGGAGTCCATTCCCCATGTTTCTTTGCAAAGAAACTTTCAGGCCAGTTTCCTCTTTCTCTTTTCTGACCATGGCCAGAATTTCCTTCTCCACGACAGAGACCACACTGATGTCATCCTCCATGTCCTGGAGCCGGTCGGCATTGTCGCTGATGTCAAACTTCTCGATTTCTTCATTGATTCGGGTCAGGTCTTCCAAGGGCAGCCCGGGGGCCGGGGCTACAGGGCAGTTCCCCTTCAGGTGAACCTGGAGGCTACAGAGATGGATGTAGTTCTTGTGGCACTGGGCACACTTGTGGGGCCGCTCCCGGGTGTGCAGACGCTTGTGCAGTTTCAGGTGCACGAACTGGGTGAACTTGGCAGGGCACACCTTGCACTGGTACGGTTTCTCTCCGGAATGGAGTCGCAGATGGGTCTTGAGATTGCTGGTGCTGCTAAATCGCTTGTGGCAGACCTGCAGTGCAGGGCAGAGACAGCAGGGAAGGGAGACAGGAAGGCCAGAAGATTAAGAGCTGCCGATGGGAGGGGAGGGCTTCCAGGCCAATGCCCAGCAACCCGGGAGGTCAGAAGCCTCCTTGTGGCACCTCCAGTGTGGTATGAAGCAAACAGAGGGATGTGGGCACACTGCACACGAGGGGCTGTTTCTCTCCCCTACCATTTTCCCACCCACTGGAAGCTGGCCATGTCCTCTCAGCTCATCAGCAGATACAGAGCCCTGGGGAGGCCCACAGTGTCAACCGCCTGGGACGAGGCAGAAGCTTGTGTTGGCTTTAACTACGGGCTGTCGGACATGGGAGGGTGACTCACAGACGTTTTCTACAAAGGTCAGAAGGTCTACCCAGAGAATACTGCGCACCTGGCATTCATGGGGCTTTTCTCCCGTGTGTACCAGGTAGTGTTTCTGCAGGTGGGCGAGCTGAGTAAAGCCCTTGTTGCAAGTCTGACATTTGAAAGGCCGTTCTCCACTGTGCACTCTCAGGTGGACCTGGGAAGAAGCCACATGTGTTAGCTCTGCTCTCAAGCTGGCTCTGAGACCTAACATTTCTGCTCAAAGACTCTAGTGTTTAGGATGCAAATATCTTAAGAAAAGCATCAAGACAGTCTTCAACAGAATCAATCCTGGTGTTTTCCGAATGGTGCTTTTCTTAAACTAAAAGCACAAAAAGCACAGGCTAGCAGGGAGTTTCACCTAAGCTTCTAGTCCAAACCCCCATTTAAAAAAAATTATTAGTATTCAGAAGCAAATCAGGAGAGGGGAAATCACTTATCTAAAGCCACAGAGCTAGAAGTGGCAAAAGCCAGGCAGAATCCATACCCACTTCTCCCAACTTGGGGCTCACCGTGCTGCAGATGCAGCTGACACCCTGTGGAGAGCAAGCTAAACGCGAACACAAGCACACACACTCACGGCCGCACAGCCCCGGGGCTGCTCTCTCGGAGGCCTACCTTCAGATTGGAGAGCTGACCGAAAGTCTTGGCGCAAACGTTGCATTCGTACTTGATCTTGCCGTTCTGCTTCTTCAGCGGGTAGGGAAGGGTCTTGTAGCCAGTCATGTTTCTTTTGTTTTTAATGAGATTCATGGCTTCGTCGCTGCTGGGGGCTGCCATCGCTGCTGAGGTAGCTTTGGGCTGCACCACATGTTCTGCCGTGGCGGCTGTGCCCGCCGTGGGAGACCCGCTCGTGGGGCTACAGGCCTTGTCCTTCATGCTGGCAGCGGCCCCGGTAAGGGAGAAGGCACTGTGGGGCGCTGGGACAAGCACCTCCCTGGGATGCTCCGGCTGCAGCAACCTCCGGGCTCCGTCTGAGGGCAGCGAGCTTGGGAGGGAAGGGGGGTTGAGCACGGGGTGGGGCAGGCTGCCCCCACTGAGGAAGTTGCTGTAGACAGGGCACAGCCTCGGGAAGAGGCCAAAGTTGTTGAGGCCATTCATGTTGCTCACAGCCCCCAGGCCATTACAATTCATGCCGTAGGGGGGCAGGAGGAACTTGTGGTAGTGAGCGTTGTACGAGGGGATGAAGGCTGGCGGGAGGTGGGGCAGGGGTGCGTAGCCGGGGTAGGAGCCCAAACCTTCCGAGCCGTAGGGCGCGTTCAAGTAAGCGTAGGAGTCCCGGTGCTCTTGAGAGCCGGGGCCCGCAGGGGACACCGTGTTCCCAGGGCTGCTGTGGGGGCTGGAGCTTTTGAGGCTTTGGTCGGGGCTGCTTCTTGCAGAGGGGCTTGGAGTGGTGGAGGATGGAATGGGGGAGTGAGTGATGTAAGTGGGTCTCTCCATCCCGTAGGCCAGGGAAGCTTTCCAAAAGTCTTCTGGCAGAGGGGCCCGGATGGGGTAAACCACCCGAGGGTAGGAGGGCATTTCGGGGCTCCCGTGTCTTCTAAAGTCATCGAGGTCCTTTTCTGATGTCAGGGGTGAAATGTTAGAACGGTACAGGTCCTTGCCTTTGGAGGGGTTGGAGTCCAATTTGAGGATTTCTTTCACGCTGTACTCTCTCTTTGGGACATTCTTTGGGCAGAGTTCATTTTTCTCTGTGCTCAGTTGCTTTAGATTGCTCTGTGTTTGTGCTGAAATAAAGAAGAAGGGGCGATTACACAGAAGCCTAGAGAGAACTGAAGCAAAATTGCCAAAGCTGCTCCCCCTTCTTGAGAAAGCCTGAGTACCAGCTGGCAACACAATCGCCATACATCTATCTGACTTCCAGCGAACGCGCTCTCATGCTACAGAGCTCTGGGCCTCTCACTCAGAAGTGCGGTTCCGTTTCCTCCTCAGCAAAATGGGGACAATGGCAGTACGGACAGAACACACAGCAGCACTTGGATGATTCTGTTTTCATTAGCACACACCGTACGATAGAAAACTGCTGTTTGAGCTGGAGTCAGATAGTGCCCATTAAAACCGGGTGGAAAAATACTGAGGTGGGGACGCTGTCACAGGTTAATAAAAGTCTTTCTGATGTTCATGGTTTACCTAAAGGAAATCAGCTCACTCTGAGAACTAAATGTGAGAGATTAAGACTCATTTCAAGTAATACAGAGTCATCAGTTTTCACCTCTACTCTTGTTGAATACGAATTTGATAAAGCCCTGTTCAAACGGCCTATGCCAAGGGGCTTAGCAAAGTGAATGGCACACCTTCCCCGTGCTGTGCCGACGGCCTAAGCATTTCAGCAAGGCTCTGTCTGGTCTAGCCAGGATCCCAGCAGCACTGGCCCCTGGAATCACAAGGCGTGACAGTCACCTCTGCCAAACCACAATAGGTACTTCCTGAGCCAGTTCAATTACTTAGCGCACCCAAGAAAACAGAGCAGGCTAAGAGGAAAGCATTTATTTCCAAACATGGCACATTATTACTTGGTAAATGTACTATTTAGGAACAGCAGCAATGAGGACAGTTCAAGGCTATCCCTGCCACAGCCAGCCCGGTCTCTCTGCCTCACAATAAATAATGCCTTCAGGAAAACACCCATCTGAGCAGGGAAAACTGAAAATTCCCTGCTGAGCCCTTGCCTGGAAACCAAAAGTAAAACATAAGATGTTTAGGTTTGAGCTCTGATTGCTGGAGGGCAGTCGCTCAAGCCAGGATACCCCGCCCTTGGAACACACGGAAGGCATCAGCTGTCGAAGATGTGTGGAGATGCCTTCAGAGGCGGCAGGTTTGGGAGAATGCACTGAAGCCTTTGTGCAAATAACCTTCATCATCTAAAAAATGTCCCTGCTTGAATTCAGTGGAGAAAGAAGTCCAGGCTTGCTATCTGATAGATCTAGAAATGAACTCTGTGAAACTCCAGAACTGAACCCTTCAAATCTATTCTCTAGGCTGACCGGCTTCAGGGATTCGATTCCAGTTTGAGAGCCCCTCAGAGAATGTTATCTCCTGCCAGCTGTTATCAGTTCCTCCGGGGAGAGCCTGAAGCCCCAGAATAAACACAGAGAACAACACTATCAGGGAAGATGCTGATGGGGGCTGTGATGGAAAGCTTGCTGAGGGAGAGGGATTTCTGAAGCCACTAAACCAAAATAAATATCTCCTTATCAGGCCAATATCAGTCTTTCAGTGAGGCCCAGCAGGCAGGAAGTTCTAATTGTCACTTTTGTTTTTTAAAGCTGAAATGGTAAAGGACAAGAGAGACAACTAAGCTGGAAAACTGATAGCAAGGCATCTCCCAGCCACAGGAAGGAATTTTATGAAGGTGAAAAAGAATGACTTGGAAACAACTATATAGGCTCAAATTAATAATGATTTTTAAAAACCATGCCACTCTAAGAAAAATGAAAATACAAAAAACCTTACCCTCATGACTTTGAGGCATTTTTAGGTGGCAAATTATGTATCTAAGTCTCATATTTTTTACAGTGGCTTCCATACTCCCTTGGTTCTATAAGTTAACAAATAAGCAGTATAAATTTGCAATAAGCATAAAGTTTCAGTCCATCCATGGCAATGCCCCTCACATTTATCTAGGCGTTCTTCTTAAGCACCTTAATATAATTTGATTATTGAGCTGATATGAAACTTATGATTGGGCCAACAAAAAAGTCAAAAATTTAACCTTTCTACACCAAATACTTAGTTAGCACAGTGCCCAGTATATAGTAAATTCAAAATGTTTGCCAGCTCTAATGCCTTTAGAAAAATAGATTCACATCTTATTCTAAAAGAACATCCAGAGTGACATGTTAGCCTCCCTAAGACGCTCTACAGGTGAAAATTATGAAGTCCATATACAGTAAAGGTGCATTTTTAAAAATCATCCTTCAGCAGCTGAGTAATCAGTGGAGCTGGTGTCATTTCTGACTCTCCCACTCAGCAGCAGCTTGAGTTAACATGAAAAAGAAAATCAAGATCTGTTTTTGTTCTGAAATCTTAAATGGCTGTAGGCGGACGGAGTCATTTCAAGAGTGAACTGCTTCTCAAGGCTCTGAATGGCTTAATTATGCCGACTCACATTTTCGATCTATAATAAGAACCCCAAGACTACAAGAAAGAACCTAGAAGTTCTGCAGTAGGCAAAACAAAGTCTCTTCAACTGAAACTGAGAAAGCAGATTAACATTTAGAAGTCTATAATTTGGTCAACTGTTTTCTAGATGGTTTAGTTAGATAGATAGAAAAAAAAATACCCCCAAATTTGGGAGGTGTAGGGGTTTCAAATTTATTAGTTTTTTTATTCTTTTTCCTTTGTTTTTAGAAAAATGACAGTTTGTGATTTCCGGCTACTTACTTTTCTTTCCTTTGGTTTGTTTCAAATCCCTTCTTCAAACTCTACTGTCTGAACCATCACTGCCATTTAAGACCTCATGGAGATTCTGGCACCGCCTCTATTGTGCTTTAAGCACGAAAACCCAAAACAATTCATTTGGAGACACAATCTACCTATTAGGCCTGATGAAATAGTGGAAATTTTCCTGATCACAGTCTCAATCATCAGCTGCCACACCTAAGACAACTGGTTTCACAACTGGCAGCAGGAATCTTGTTTTAATGTGACTGGTTATTTGTTAACTCTCATTCTTTGCTATGAATACTGGACAATGAAGTGTACCTGAAAATGTTAAATCACCAACTAGAAAACATTCTGCCAAAATAAAAGGGGGATACATTCTGTATAAATAAAAAAGGGATAAATAAAAGGTGTCATTTCACAGTATATATGAAAGTTGCTTCTGAACACAAAGTAGAAGCACTTGAACCTTAAAATACTGTGCAGAGCCTTTCCTTGGGGAAGAAAAATGCCAGGTCCTTCAACCCTTCCCTCGATTGGCACAGGGTGTGAGAAGCATGCAAAAAAAATTTCTTGGTGGTTGATGCACAATCACTGGGGTAGGTCACCTCAAATGAACTGTTTAAAGAAAAACAAAAATCAAAAGACTTTCCTTTGAATCCATGAATGATTAAACTCAAAGAACGTAAGGAGACCCTTAAGAGGAAGTGGCTCACCATGTTGAGAAAGCCAGGAGGGAGCCGCATGCTTCTGAGGTGCCCGGCTGGAATATGAGCTCCACAAAAGTAGTGCTGTGCCTGTGCATTTGTCTTTTGCTCCAGGTCCTCACCACTGGGCCTGGCACACACAGATGCTGAAACAGCTGAATGGCTCCCGGCAGGCTCAGCGATAGGGAAATGACAGAGTCTCGGGAAGCACTGAAGAGAGATGAGGGAAAAGAACTGCCACCTTTTCGGTCAGGACCTGATTAGACCCGTCAAGCTGGAACTGGGGGCCTGGGAGCCAGTTCTTTTCCTGAAGCTCAAGGGTATCCTGTTGTATACGGGCCCCAAACACACGTCTTAAAATGGGATTCTACTAGGGAGGTCCTGCTGCTTTTATAGCCTCGGATTTTCAGAAAACTGCAAACAATCTTTCAGTCTTAAGGAAGATGAAGTAAAATGAAGTGTGGAATGAACACCAAATAACCATACAGTTGCATTATTTATGGCTAGGATAAGTACTTGGTTTGCTTGTTGGTCCTAAAATCAAAGTTGAAATTCCAATTTATGTTAACATTGATATTTAGTCCAAATGTCTCGAAGGTGAAAATGTGAACTAAAACAATTTAGCCTTCCAATAAAGCAAACGGACAGTGTATCAACGATTGGCAAACCTGGGTAAAGGGTAACTGGAAATCCTTTGTCCTTTTCTTAAAATGTTTTCTTAAGTTTGAAAAGATATCAAAATAAAAAGTTACAAAAACTTGAGCATCTAGTTTTAACAACAAAACCAAAAGCAACTAACTTTTAAAACTGCTAATAAGATTTAGTAGTCTAACCAAGAACACACAACCATAGTTCTAGCAGAGGTTAGAATCTTATGGCAATTCTGAAATCGCTCAGAGATCACTTGAGAATGACTCAAATGATGTAGCCCTTTGCAGAGAGAGAGGTCATGACAGCACTTTTAATCAAATAAAAGAAGTAAAAGCATATAAACCTAAGAACTGAGAATTTGTTAAGATAAAGTGATAGGTGGCTGCTGTAACACTGATCAGATCAGACAATTAGCTTTTTACTGTAAAGAAGGAAGCTAAGATATAAAATCTTTACGGTTATTCATTTAGAATAATACTTGAAAAATTATGACAACGTTTTTCTAGCAATGATCTTACAATGTTCCACATCAGATCCTAACTGTACATTCAAATGTGTATCTATAAATGTTCTGATGCAGTCTAAGCCCTGAAAAAGTATCACAAATGAGGGCTACACCTTGTATATGCAGCATGTCTGGACCACCCCCTGTAACTCTCCCAACTGCTTATGAATAAATTAGAATTGGACATATATTTCTTCTTATTCTGAATTCAAAACTCAAAGTAGCTCTTCATCTATAATGTATTTAAATGATCAAGTTTCATAATAGTTAATAGGGACTCAAAGAAGGTTTTTCCTCTTCCTAGTCCCTAGCTTAAGCCACCTACTTTGTCCAACAGATGATGAAGCTGTATAATTAAACAACATGTTATTAGTTCACAGAGGCAGAACCGACATTACTGGCATTTTTTTATTTTTTTGTTCTGTAATCCACTTACTGAGATTCATCATTGTCAGCTCTCCGGGATAAGGGTAGTGAAGCCTTTCTGCAAAGTCCCGACAATACCACACAAGAAGTTCCTGGTTGGCAGGGATGGGCTTAATGGTGTAGAAGTAGATGTTCATCCCGTTCTGACACGCAGCCAGGTTTTGCTCCCGGGCAGAGTGCGCTGGATTCACATAGCGCATCCAGTTGCTTTTCTCTTCATTAAAGCCATCAATGAAGTGGAGAAGCTCCCCCCTGGAATAGATCTGTCCAAAAGAGAAGACAGGCATGTAAAGGGAAGGCAGCCCCAAAGCTCTCCAGCACCTCTTGGAATAAACACAGCCCGTACCGTGTGTGATTTCTGATCCCCTACTGCCTCATTAGAGAAAGAAATCAAATCAGTTTAGCCAGTGTAGTCTTGAATCAGCAGAAATAGGGCGGAAACAGGTAAGGCACACTTTGTCAGTTACCTTTTCCATTTCAGTTTTATCATCTTTTCATGTTCGGGAAAATAACAGAAAAATGAAACACAAATGTTCATTTAAGGAGCTGCCTCAAACCTATTAACCCACCACAGAGTACTACTTTTGCTACTGCAGTGAATGGCAAATGGGCGAGCTACTGACTTCAGTTCCGATTATGCTGACTTTTAGTGCTTTGAGTCACTGGGTAGAGGACTAAGCCGGCTGACGACGTCAAACTGAGTCTCAGCTTTTTCTATGGCCTCTGTACTCGCAGTTTCCTACACCCCCGCCCAAGGCTTCAACTATGCAAACATCCTCCACCCCCAACCCTCCAAGTCCTAAAGTAACACTTGTTCATATGAATACTTGGAACCTTGCCTTTTTGTGGAAGCACTGGGTGGGGCAGAGGTGAGCTTCACCTGCCATAACAAAGTGAACACCGGGGCAGCAGCCAGAGTCTGACAGTCTACTACTCAGAAGTCACTTTTCCTCTTGATAAACGTGTCCAGCCTTGCTCTTTCCTTTCAATGCAAAGGAGGGAAGAGGGAACCCCTTATCTGGGAGGAGGCTGGCTGAAACACCACACACACAGCCACAGGCATTGTGTTTTTGGAAAACGAACAGGAGGAAAGTATGTTGTTCCTTAAAGGCAACGCATAATGAAGAATTTGAAGTTTGTCCTAGAGAAATACTACTTCTGGTTAACAGATGCACTCAGGCCACTTGGCAAAGAGGCAGAGGGAAGAAGAAAAATTAAACTGCACACTCTTACTGAAACTATAAACACACTCCTTTATCCTTCCACAGAGAGTGTTCTCTCTCTCCCTCCCTCTTTTTAGGAGGTACCACATTTTCTTTAGACTTTAAGACCTTTCCTTAATACATATATAATCAGTCAATACCTGGTGTCCTCTGCGACTTGCAGTCTCCAAGTAGTAAGTAAGGCACTGTTCGTAGCAGGAATTTTGCTCTTACCGGACAGCAGGTTACTGCTTTTCCTTACTCACGTACCAACTGTGCTAGCCTACAGACAGTTTCTGTATTTCGCTCAAACGTTATCAGAGATAAAAAGGAACTCTGTCCCTTTAACACAGGCGGTAAACATCAGAATCACTTTCTTTTAAGAGTAACTTCCTGTAAATTGTGAAGGGGGAAATACATGTGGCTTCATCAAAGCAGCTTGTGAGAGCTTTTGCGGTGTGTTTTGTTAAGAGAAAATGGAACAAGGCTGGGTGAATTCTGCTATCAAGAGGGGTTTTCAAGTTTGTTTACTCTGATGTGCAAACTTCCAGGAACATGGGGTTCCATCGCTCTTGCACTCTTCGCTGGGGCGGAAACTGCTTTCTAAAGCTACAGGTATGTTGATTCCAGTTAGCCTTCCTCGGACTGCAATTTACTGTATCTTCATTTAAAAACAGCTATGTCGATGCCACGAAGTCACTCACACACACACAAGGAAATAAAATAACGCATACGTAAAATGAACACTATTTCCTACCACCTTATTACACTTCCATATATTATCAAGATTAAAATGTGCTGATTCATACTTCAGTTACAAGAAATGTCACTGGTTTCTCAATTTGAACAGCCCTTCTCTTCTTTGGCTGTGTAATTTGCATGAAACTTTTCCTTTCCTCAGAACAGATGTTCATATTCCTGCCAGCAAAACTGGGATGTTCTACAATATCCTCTGCATGTGAAAGACTGATTCAAATAAATCCTCCCAAGGAAAGCCTTCCAGTTACTTACAGTGAATCTTTAAATGAAACAGGGAACTGGGACCATGAGGGGAGATTCTTAGGTGCTTCTTGCCTTTTCTCAAAATGATCACACATTAATGAGACTTATGCTGAATTGTCTTAATTCAGACCTTTAACTCCAAAAGGTATGTACCTTTATGGCTCACTTCTGAGAAGAATTTATTGGCAATAAAGGCAAAAATGCACTCATGGTTCCAACATTATTAATTAATATATTTTAAGCAGGGATAATTATTAAATAAAAATTATAAGCACATGATTCTTAGTGAATCTGTAACTACCCTCTTTTGCTTGGGAAATAGTAAGATAAATTTCTAAAAATGCAAAACTTCCCGGATTAAAAATATTGTTTCTTAGGAATACCTTCTGAGTGATTCACTAGCAGAAGTGTCTAGGATACTTGTCCGAAAGATATAGGTGTTCGCAAAATACCAGCTACAGCAAACATAACACAATTTTTGTTATCATGCAGCTGTTTCTTTTTAAAGAATTCAAATAATGTACATTTCATGTAAGTATGCATAAAAACACTTACTAAATTTAAGTAACCATATCTTTATTTTCTAACTGAGGAAACTGAATATCCCTGAGACATCTATGGGAAGAAGGAAAGCAATCTGATGTTTTTCTCTTCACTGCTAATCCAGTCTTTTACTCAAGGATTCCATCTAATTAGTTCACCTCTAGCGGCCTTTCTAATATAGCAAAGGAAGTCGTACTAGCTAGATCTTTTGGTTGGATGTTATAAAGGAAAGTTTATCATCCTGCATGATTGTAAGTATTTTCCTTATGCTATGAGATAATTAACTTATTGTCAAATGGAATCGTTTTATGGGGCACACGTATTTAAACAGGACTAGCCCTGTGGTCCTTTCTCCATTCCCCTCACCCCGTCTTCCAGCTATCCTTCCTTAATGGCATTTACTTTCAAGATAATTCATTTGTGTCATTCCTGGCTGGGCATGTAGCTCACACCTGTGATTCCAGCACTTTGGGAGGCTGAGGTGGGCAGATCATGAGGTCAAGCGATTGAGACCATCCTGGCCAACATGTTGGAACCCCATCCCTACTAAAAATACAAAAATTAACTGGGCGTGGTGGTATGCGCCTGAGGTACCAGCTACTTAGGAAGCTGAGGCAGGACAAGTACTTGAACCTGAGAGGCGGAGGTTGCAGTGAGCTTAGATAGCACGACTGCACTCCAGCCTGGCAACAGTGAGAATCCACTTAAAAAAAAAAAAAAAAGAAAAAAAAAGGTTGTTCATTTGCGATAACTATTCCATTCAATTAAAGTTAAGTCAGCAAGAAATCAAAAAGGGGTGAAATTTAAGGCTTGGTGACTCATTACTACTTCCTTGCAGAGAAATGCAAATGAACCTACTACCTTAAAGCAAGGCAACAAACTGTTTCCTTTCATCACAAAACTCTAATGAATTGCAAAAATTAAGATTCACATATAGCTCATATATCCTTCCCTAACCACCTACAGGCCAAACATTTCATCGGTTTCATCACATTTGTTCAGAATTCCCTGTGTCCATGAGATCCTGGATACTTATGGGTGAGCCCCAGCATTTCTCAGCACAGGATGAGAAAGGAGGTAACCCACCCAGCTACTCTTGTAGCTCCATTTTTTTCCTAATACTTAATGAGTCTGGAGAAATTTCCCTTACTTACCCTCCAAAAATATTTCCTGTTGGCGTTCTTGGGAACTGTGTCACTGGTGTAGATTTCACCTATTAGGGGCCCAAAACGTGTGCCCTTTGGTATGTATTCTTTACTCATCACGCCAAGAACCTAAAGAGGAAAAAAACACAGGAAACAATTACATTAACTGTAAAATATTCACCAATCTTTTCATTTGAATAAATTGGACTAGCAAGTGGCAATACAGCTAACAATAATAAAATTTTGATAAGTAGAACAGACATTCACGACGCCTACATAATGAACAAGCTTCACCTTAGGGTGAGCAAATACTCAACCAAGCATTAAATCAGTCTAGGGGATTATTGTCTGGTAATAAAGGATCCTGTAGTTGTATCATTACTTTTCACGCTAGAACAGAGAAGATCACCATTCTCTTATAGAATGAGAATAAGACACTGCAGAATTAGACAGTCAAGATCAGACCCTTTCAGCCTGTCCCTAGTTTCCCATTTCTCCTTCTCCCTCAAACCGTAAGTACAGTGTGCTTGAGGGGAATAAAATAGGTTTAACCTCAGAAACCAAAATAATGCTCTTTGCTTGTTCCACAATGGTCCAAGGAACCAGAAACCAAATGCACTGTGTTTTTTCATTCCGTATGAGGTCTGCATGTTTTGTTTTGTTTTGTTTTTTTCATAGCTTGCATATTCTCTTTAATAAAAGATCTTTCAAGTAACTCTTCTTCTGTGGCCTTCTACTTTGTTCTTCTCCAGTCTTCTACTCAAGAGTGGTCAAAGGCCCGTGTGTGGGTGTATGTTAAAGACAGGGTCTCCCTCTGTCACCCAGGCTGGAGTGCAGTGGCTCAATCTTAGCACATTGCAGCCTCAACCTCCCAGGACCAAGTGATCCTCCCACCTCAGCCTCCTGAGCAGATGAGACTAGAGTCATGCACCACCACACCCACAGCTAATTTTTTGTTGTTGTTGTTGACAAGGAGTTTCACCATGTTGCCCAGCTTTGTCTCAAACTCCTGGACTCAAGTATCCTCCCACCTCAGCCTCCCAAAGTGCTGAGATTATAGGCTGAGCCACTACGCTTGGCCAAAAGCCCTCCTTTGAAATTAAGTTTATACTGAGGAAAGCTGTAGGTTCTAAGACCTGAGGAAATAACCTCAGACTGCATGTATCACACATTTTAACTTTGTAGGGCCTTGCTAAAGAAACATAACTATACCAGTTCCTCCTTAATAATAAATTTCTCTTTTTGAGGGGGTAAAAAAAATCACCAACCATGAATCAGGAAGCAATTCGTCACTATTCAATAGAACTCCCCTGTGAGTAGTCCTTTACAACAGTTTGCAGTTACAGTTTTGTTTTGGTTTTTATTCTCTCACTTTCCTGTTTTATTTTCTTCTCATTCAAGACAACCTACCAATTACCTACTAAATACATTATTGAAATGGGCCAAAGAGGAGGGAGGGGCAACAGATGATAATGTTTATTTTCCAGTTTTTATTTCCCCACTAGCTCCTGTGCATTCATGTACCTGAAATGGTAGATCCAAATATGTGAATCGATCAGTGTTACATGGGTTGCTCACAGTGGAATCTACGATTTTGGTTATACTATACTCCAGTTCCTCATTAAGGGACTTTCATTAACAATTTAAACCTCTCTTTAAATAGATAAGGCACACCTATGTGCCTGTGACAGACTAGCTTTTCTCATTTAAGTATCTTACCAACCGATGATTTTTTTTTTCTGAAACAGTTTAGTATTCAATATACAAATCAATGAAGCATACGCAGACTGGAAAGAGAAAAAAAAGAAAATTTTCCTACACCTAACACAAGTTGAAACAAGAGTGTTATTTTTGGTGCTTTATGAATTTCTGTCAGAGAGTTGAAAAAAGCAGATGTTCATTCCATCTTCCTCCTCTGCCTTCATTTACATCTATCTCCCCTTTTAATCACAGTTTGTCATTATTGGTATTTGTTGGCAGTAAACTACTGGGGATGAGAGTATCTCAGAGCAGCCTTGAGATATAAATATATATATATTTAAAGCTTTAGTAGACTTACTTATTCAGAGGCTCATTGTTTTGGACATACTATTATTGAATCTAATTAATTTGGAAAATTCATGGAATTGAATTTATGACATGCAAATTTCAGTGATTATTCCATAATATCAGAACGACAAACAGGAAAAACAAATAATGCCATTTGTTAGTGAGCCAATAATTAGCAGTTGATATTTTCAACATATCTACTTTACAGCAGTAATTTTAAGAAAGGCACTCAACTGGTTCATCCACTTTGTTTTAAATTATAGTCTCTTACAGACGGTGTCCTGGGAGTCAGAGCTTGATTACTAACAAGAAGCACTGCATTGAGGTCACGGTTCTTCTTCCAAACTGCCTTTCTTTTACAGAATGGGCCTCTAGGTTTTCAGCTATCAATCTTACACGAAGAAAACACTCATTTTCTTGTGCCCCAAAATAAGCCATCTAGAAAGCATAAGCTGCCCAATACCTATTTGAACACAACAGTGGACTAGTCAGTAGGGAGCTGTAAAAGCAGCACTGGAAGTAGCTCTTGCCATCTCTAACCTTACAAATGCAGTGCAACAGGCAAGACATGCGGACAATTAAAAAAAGAAGGCTCTGTGGTAGAGAGCTCTATGATAACCCTCAAGCTCCAGACAAATTAAAGTAGCTTCAATATTAGGTTATCATTAGGAAAGGGACAGAGCCCTACTATTTTAAATTTCAATTATATTCAGTGCTATAGGGCACATATAAACTCACACCTATACATAAAAATACAAAAATCATAAAATTTCAAAATGGGAAGCACTTACAAACCACCTCTATCCATTCTAAGTCTAGCATTCTAATACACAATAAACATCTTCATCTCAAATGTACGTCCAAGACATTACTCCCAGATGACATAGAAGTTGACACTCTTAAGACCATGGTGCTTGTCCAGGTAGCTTTGGAGGGGAATAGGAACCAGGACTGTTTTCAAAGGGAAGTAAAAAACCAAGTACTAATTCTCCCTCTGGTCCTAGAAAGATCCAGAATGTGCATCTTAGACAAACTATCTCCCTGACTCACAGTTTATAGTAGTCTATTTTCAAAGCAAGCAAATATTAAGGAGGAACCTGGTGTGTGCCGTAAACTTCATAGTGCTAAAAAGACAAAGAATTTGTTCACCTAACTGAGGAAGGAAACTGCACTGGAACTGACCAGGGTCCTAAAGAATTACTACCGGGGACAGGCCACTGTGTGCCTTCTATAAACCGATCAGCAAGAGGATACCAGGCTTCAATACCTCCCTGCTTCACCTGCTCCCACAGAAGCTCTTTATGTGCGGTGCAGACCCCTCCACCACTTGAGCAGATTTGTCAAAGTGGCTTCAGTTATAGAACACACCCTGACGTCTACAGCTTCTAGACAAAACACAGGGCTTTTCAATTTTACAAAATGAAGGAGATTTTACAGTTTAGGATGGGTTGAGTTGGAGTGCTTAATGAAAGTCTGATAAAAAGGACAATATAGGCTTTTTTTTTTTTTTTAAAGCAAATTCCTTCTTTAGAGAGTATGCAAACACACAGAGCAGTGGGTTTTAAGCAGAAACAATATCCAAGTCTAAATGTCATCTGATCATCTTCTCCCCAATAAGATCATTTAAATTACTAGTGATCTCTTCTCCCTCCCTGAATCCCACTCTGTAAGAATGACTCGTTAGATTATAATTGTTTTGACCATATGAATGTTTGTCTTGTGAGGACTAGAACTCAGTAGTAACCAAGACCTTCGGCCTGCAATCACCCCATTTTTATTTGATTAATTTATTTGATTATTATTATTTTTTGAGACAGTTTCGCTCTTGTTGCCAGGGCTGGAGTACAATGGCACCATCTCAGCTCACTGCAACTTCCGCCTCCCAGGTTCAAGTGATTCTCCTACCTCAGCCTCCCAAGTAGCTGGGATTACAGGCCCGCGTCACCATACCCAGATGATTTTTGTATTTTTAGTGGAGACTGGGTTTCACCACGCTGGCCAGGCTGGTCTCCAACTCCTGCCCTCAGGTGATCTGCCCTCCTTGGCCTCTCAAAGTGTTGGGATTACAGGCGTGAGCCACTGTGTTTGGCAGTCACCCAATTTTCAAAAGGAGTGAAGTGAACAAAGGTGTTTGGGGAAGGTTTCCTTCTTCATTACCTTTCTATTACAGAAAACAATGGTGATGCCTTGGTCCATCATTTCTCAAATAAAAGGCAGTATGAAGAGGGAATTGCATGTTATGGTGAGATACTTTTTATAGATGGCTTGAGTTAATAATGGACTTCAATCGGAATGGACACCGAGGGAGTCCCCATGTTCTGTCTGATGTTTATCAGCCAGATACAAGGAGGTGAGACTCACAGAGTCGCGGTGCCTCTAGAGCAGGCGTCCCCAAACTTTTTACACAGGGGGCCAGTTCACTGTCCCTCAGACCGTTGGAGGGCCGCTACATACTGTGCTCCTCTCACTGACCCCCAATGAAAGAGGTGCCCCTTCCTGAAGTGGGGCGGTGGAGGGGGGGCAGATAAATGGCCTCAGGGGGCCGCATGCCCACGGGCCGTAGTTTGGAGACGCCTGCTGTAGAGTATAAGCAGTCTCAACCGAGAGCAGAAACTCTACAGGGTAACGCTTCTAAAATATGAATGCTTGAACTGATTTTTCTGTAGTCAAGTAGTCACAAGAGATTATTTCAGGAGGACAAGGGGAAAACCCCCATAAAAGAATAACCCGTCAGTTTAAAACATGTTCAGAGTTTTGAATAGTAAGTCTATATTTGATTTTAGTTCTGGAAATAGGAAGTAAGAACAGCTTTATTAAAGGTACAGAATGATTCTAAACTCAATCTAAAAATGAGGGTCAAGATCAGAAATACGGTTTGTATGTTTTGCTTTTTAACCAAAAAAAAAAAAAAAAAGGTGCTGACACATTGTACAAATTCATAATGAAAAATGGTGTTGTAAAAAAAAAAATTCCCCAGTAGGTCAGCACAATAGTACATACTGTAACATCTTTTGCTATTTAAATGAAAACATTTAAAGGGCGAGACTGATAAGTCAGATAAAAAGACTTCCTATTTCAACGGCTCATGGAACTTAAAGAACTAACTGAATAATGATCATGTAAACATTCATCAACCCTTAACGTCACCGTCTGTGTACTGGTTTGCAGCTCTCCTACCCGCAATGGCTCAAACTCCACCATCCTCTTTCACCTTCTAAAGGGAGCTCTCCTTTCCCAAAGTTCAAAAACAAAGGAGAGAAACAGAAAAACAGGTACAAATTCTTAAGCTTACTAGCTTAAGACAGTATTACATTCAAGTTTACTTCTTGCTTGTCTTTATGGTTAGGGTTTAAAGATGTACTATCCTTTATTCAAGTGCTTCAGTTAAATGCAATACAGGGAAACAGGGTAAGAGAACCCTGAGCTCTTAGGTTAGTTCTGAAGGACCCTCTTCAGGAACACATGCACTGTCTATTTTTGGGTTGCTTAATACATAGAAATAGGGAGTTATACATTCAGAGGGGAAAAAATAACACGAAATAGCTTAAGGATTGGTCTGAAATATGTGAAGATGATAACTAAAACCACAGTGACACCAAGAGGGGCCAGTGTAGCATAATCGAGAAGTACTTACTGGAGAAGTCAGAGGAACTTTGCTTCAAGTCCCAGGTCTGGCTTTACCTATATATCTTTGGGTAAGTGACTATCTTTCTGAACCTTGAACTAAATGATCTAAGAGCATTACTTGACTTAGCTATGATTTTAAAGGAGAATGACAGAAATTAAAAAAACTTAAGCTAAGAGCTGACCTGAGGATAAGAACATTATGGAATTAAAAGGCAAAGATGACCCACAGAATGTAGATTTTTATTTCAGTCCCAAAGGGCGGACAGGGCAACACAGCACAAATCAACCTTGGGAACAGACCAATATTTGGTCAAACTCGATATGGGGAAAAAACACACTACACCTTTTAAAGCCACAGTGAAATCTTATATACCTAAACAAATCCTGTATTAATTCCAAGGGCCACGTATTAATGAGAGACTTTCTATTAAGAAGAGCATTACTTTCAGGAAGAGGTATAATTAAGGCTGACCTCTGGGGCTAAAGTTTTTGATAATGTTCCCATACAACTACAATTTAAATTTTACTTTTTATAAACTCTGCCTCCATTCGCCCAGCAGTGGGGGCAAAAAAGAAAGAATGAGCAGCATTGCTCTGTTTAATTTTAGACAGCTGTGTCTCCCCCCTCACCAAAAAAAAAAAAAAAAAAAAAAAAAAAAAAACCACTGGACTCAGACACACAAACAGGAAAGAGACAAAGAGTTTTCCAAACAGGCTCCCGGATTCCTTCAAATACTGTTCCTTAGGGATGGGGGAAAGTGACTCGATATGGCTATAAGGAACAGTCCTAGTAGCAAATTCTGGATTCCTATGGCCAATCATCCCCTTTTCCCTACTTTCTGAAGGCAGTAATAGAATTGACAGTGCTCCTTGCTAACGGTGGTGGTGGGAGGTCTGCTGAGGGGTCCCTTCATTCAACTTCAGCCAGTAGTAGACTAGTGAGTGCCACTATAGTAAGCCAAATTCTGAAAACAAGAGGTGGTTCTGCAAGTTATTTCACAGCTAAACTTCACGCCTAACTATAATCTTTATATAAAAGGTAAACAGAAATCAGTTGCTCATTCCCAGTTTGGGTTTTCATCCCCTTTGAAACAACAAAGAGTGTACCCACTTCAGAGGCCAGTAAGGAATTGGCCTGCCAGCCCAGCCCAGCAAAGGAGCTGCCGCAGATAAACAGTGGTTAGCTCTGAAGTCATCCGGACAGAGGACACTTTTACATGACCCCCTTTCTCGGTTTATACCATCACTTCACTTCATAAACACGTCAAAGTTTTGAGAATAATTTTAGAAACCCAGCTAATAAAGCTGGCTTGTTAAAAAGAATAAAGCCAACTAATTACCAAAGGGAGACAAAAGAAACATGAAAACATTTTTTTTCTAAGAAAGTTTTCTCCCTTAAGAGATACTGTACAACAGGGGCAGGAGGGCCAGTGGGTCCAGCCCAGAGCTTTCTTGACATTTGAGTACACTGACAATTTCACCCACCCTGTGCTGCAAGGCACTTTTCTAAGACATGTCAATTTGCCAAAATATTTAACTGTTTACTAATTAGGATGGAACAGTTGAAGGCTGGAGGAAATGAGAAGGAAATAATTTAGGGAAAGAGAAAGCAATGCAAGAATTGAATAGAGAAATCAATTATTTACTGATACTTACAGATTCTCAGAGGTTTTCAGAGATATACAAGGCCTCAAAGGCAAGTAGGGAGATTTGGCGCCAGGTCCCAAGCGTCTTCGGCAATAAACCAGAGGCTTACCTCTTTGCTGTTTGTGGCACACTTGAAAAGCAGATTCCTCGGTAAGGATGCCTCCGCCTGAACCGAAGTCCCGCCATCAGCACCGGCTTCCCAGGGGTGGTCGTTCACAATGTATGTACACTTCTCTTCAAATTCAGCCTCTGTCCACAGAGTCATATCCGCATCCTCCATGTCCATTTTCATGGTTCCCTCGGTCCCCTCTGCCAATTCCTGAAACCTCACAGCACCGGAGCTACACTTGGGGGCAGCCTGGAAGAGAAGGGAAAGCCCTTTAATCCTCATTGTCCCGCCGTTCCTGTGGCTCCCTCTGAGAGGCTATGACTAATACAGTAGTCTGAAGACTTTAAAAGCAGATGCAGAGTGCTGGGTACAGTTGAGTAAGAGCCAAAAAGCCGTATAAAGTAAACTGCCTTGTTTTTAAATGCTACTCTTAGCTTAAAAAAAAAAAAAAAAAAAAAAAAAATTGGCAACCACACTGGGGGAGGGGAGGAGATGAAAAGGAAAAAAAAAAAAAAAGGAATCACCTCTGAACAATCCCTGGCTTTACCTCTCACGGCAGAAAAATGTTGTGGGCGCACAGTCCAGTGTCCCAGAATGCCTGGGGTCATGGCCGCCAGACCCTCGGCACTGTGGAAAAGCTGCCTCAGAAAAGTGTCACAAACAAGGAGAGGAAGAGGAAGGAGCTCTGTCTGCCTCTGAATGAAGCTAAAAATGGAAAGCGCGTGTGGTGCAGGAGCGGAACCAGCCTGCCTTTTCCAAATGGGGAAGGCTGAACTTTCCCACCAGCTCCCAACGCAAAACAACTTTCAAAACAACTGCCTCCCCCCTCTGCTGCGAGCTCTCTTTCATCCTCACATGGAAGGCTGAAAAGGGTTGCATCCTGCCAGCATCACTGAGCTACGGCCTCTTAGAAATCACTTGGACCACAGAAAAAGAGGAGGAAAAATGGGTGACGGGAGAAACAGCCTGCAGTGTCTTCTGACTTGCAGGCATATCGCACCAAATTGAAAAAGCAAAAACAAAACATAGAACTGTTCAATAAGATTCCCTGGAGAGAATTCCTTCAGGACCCTTCAGCTACAAATAGCACTTTCCATTTAAGTCTGAAAGTGTATGAATTCCCAGAAGTCACTGATGTACTACAGTTTACTGTAACTAAAGTTATAACAAATTTAGAAGACTTGGAGGACAATCTCTGCTTCCACTCGTAAACTGATAAGGATATTCCCGAAAATCCTCCGTCACACTCAGAAAAAAGTGTTTCCCAAAGGCAAAAAAAAAAAAAAAAAAAAGGTAAACAACTTCTGTAATATTTTCTCACATAGACATGTTTGATAAAAATTAGGAATATGGGTGTCATTTCCATGTAAGAATGTATATTTGTTAAAATGTAAACATAACATTCTGTGGAAGTCCTTCAAGGAGATTTTTACATTCTTCCACTTCTCTAAATAGGATGCTTAAAAAAAAAAAAAAAAAAAAAAAGGTTGGATGCAAAGTTGTTTTTCCCTGTTACAATTTAAACAAACCTGCATATTTTTATTTAAATCCAACATGTAGAGTCATGATGCCAAGTACATGTTAAAAATAAAATAAAACTGAAAACTTCAGCCAACCCAGAATAGTTTGGCGGGTGTGAGCAGGAACCACTACTGAAATTTCAATGAATTGACAATTGTGTCTAGAACTGAAAGGGTTAATGATTCATAAGGAAAGTCTTACAAATGTTTGACAGCACTAAATGCACTAAAGCAGAAGCATGTTTCTACTGCGACTACGTTGGCAAAAAATAAAAAAGTAAAAGAAAAGACAGTTTTCAGATCCATTTCAGAATTAAAAAAAAAAAAAATAAATTCCAGTTCCTTACCAAGGTCGTACCCACACGTTTTTCCACGCAAATATCCAACATCTGAGAAAAGTCTCGCTCATCTCTACCCAGTCCACATTCTCCCCGCGTCTCCCGCTGGGCTGAGCCGCACGGACGCGCACCTCGGCGGCGGTCCCTTCTCGCTCCGTCCGGCCGCCCCGGCGCCCGCGTCCCGGCTCCGGGCGGACAGGTGCTCTCGCCTCTCCGCGCTGCTCTTGCCTCTCCGCAACACTGGAGGGCCTAGTGTCACGGCGCACTGTGTGTGTCTGGTTTCCCCTCCCTGCTGCAGATTGCCGGAGTCACTCGCCCGAAGAGGGGGGCGTGGCCAACCACCTGGCCAAGCCCAGGGCTTTCCCCCAGATTTCGAGCACAGCCGCCGAGTTTAGTGAATTTCAACATTGACTTGGAATCTTACTTCCCTTTGAAGGCACTTAGCCTTACTCGGGCTCTATTGTATTCTAAACACTCCAGATCGGTCTCCTTCCAGGCGCGGCAGAATTAGGGGGCACACTTTCCTTAAAGAAACTTAACATTTACCTACACATTTTGTAATTTCTCAGCTTAAATCCCCAGGTACAAAAGACACAACTCTTACTTCAAAAGAGCAGGTTAAACTGTTTCGCAGCTAATGTAATACAGTAGAGCTGTCTGGTCCTCGAGCTGCTGTGTACGTAGCACACGTTTCCCCGCACCGCCACCACCGCCCCCACCCCCCCACCGCCCCAAAACTTGCAACATTCCATTTCTCCTGCTAACGTTCAAACTTGGCAGAACTAACTTTTCCTCTTTTAACTATTTACTAAATAGGGAAAAAGGAAAAAGTTATAATTCTATAGATTAATGTTTGTTTTCCTTTCCTCTCCTCCCAGAACCCACAGGCAGACTTCCCAGGAGTGTAAGTAAAATGTAGAGCATTAATCGTTTCACAGTTAAGAGGAATATTGAACTGATCACTGCAAGTGGAAAGCGGTCGGAGGCAGTAATTAGTGGGGCTTATTCTGAGCCCCGGCCAGCTTTTCCTCCAGCCCAGTCAGTCCTCTGTTGAAGGAAGGACATCCTGTGATGATGGCATACAATGTCCTGTTTGTTTATTATTAAGAGCGTGGACCTTGCATTCCTGCTTCTCATTACAAAACAAACCAGATGCTTTACTTCCTTCAATGGTCTTGTGCCTTCAGCAAGGAATTCTTTAATTCAGAGAAACAATGTTTATAGCAAACACTCCATTTAAATTATTATTTAGATCATTGAAATCCAGGTCTTCCATTTTTCCTGCTTGCCTCACCATAGGTAGTTTTTTGTTGTTGTTGTTTTGTTTTTTTTTAATAATTTCTCCTTCAATCTTAGGCTGCAATGTCTTTTCTAACATTTTAAATACACGTGTGCATACACACCCACACACACACACCCCCACATACACACACCCAGTTCCAACTTAATGATACCAACTTAGTCATACAATGAAGTGGACATCTGAGTATTTGTTTACAGGAAGAAAGGAAACAAAGCAAAACAAAAGCCCAGCTCAATCCTAAAAATATGTCTGTTTATCTTTAAAATTTCTCTTTTAGAAAACTTTTCTAGAATTTTTTTGGGGGAAGGGGGAGAGGCAAAAGATTATTTGCCAGGAAATGGTGTCTGAAGTCCTGCTGCAATCTCTCTCTCAGTACAGAACAATTAAATTCCCACTAGGGGACATGATTAGCACACACTCCCTGCTCGCTGCTTGGCCCACCTGTGATTGCATGTTACGCCAGAGGGGACGCTAGCACCAAGAGGAAGCAGGACTTTTAGAAGGCAGATATGCCAGGGGTGGAAAACTGAATGAACAATTCCTAATAGTCCTCAGAAAGCTCCAAGCTGATAATTAAACAAGAGAAATCCAGCCTGCTCAAGAGGGTTTATTAACTGATGCTGAGTCAGCACCACAATGGACAGAAAAACAATGTAGTCATACTGAAGGCTGGCCTGCTGTTCAAACAGTCTCACTTGCAGATGGTAAAGACTATTTCACTTCCCTTTTAGAATCAAACTCTGTTCTTAGGCCACATACACCATCATGCAACTGCTGGTGAGTCAACCAGGATGGAGTAAGGGAATAGGCAAAACGTTGGATATTTGAGGTGGGAAGAGGGCTATTTTAAGCCAAATATTTGCTTGAATGACTGGAAGATGCCAGTGAATCAACTCACTGTTAATTAATATCAGCCTGCACTCACCTTCAGAGGTGGTGAAATGGGCTTGAGTCTAGGGAGGACGCAAACTTCAAATACCAGTGTGGGGCTTAGCCAGGCAACCCTAAAATTAGTTCCAGGTGTCCAGCTGAGCTGGACAAGGCCACGGGTAGAAGGAAAGTACATTTTCAGACAGAGTGTTGGAATGTAAAATCCTTTACATGTTAGCTTCTTGTCTCAGAGTGATGGGACAAAGACCCTCCAAACCAAGTTTTGACTGTGATTATAGTAGTCAGGGATGGGTAATAACATCATTTAAAATGAAAGATACAAAAAAGGAAGAAGAAATGGAACAAAGGAAGCTTGCTCCATCATAGGAAAAAACATGTCCATATTGTAATATTTAGGTATTGTCCAGCACAAAACCACTAATGGGGACTAAAAGGGACTGACCTCTGACCTTCCCTCAGTTCTCCCAGAGGGCCTGAGCAGTGCACCTTTTTAGTGCTGACTAAAGCTGGGAGACCCTGGCAGCAGTACAGCTGTGCAGAGAGAGCTATCGGAGGCTGCCACTGTCTGGAATCTTACGTCTCAAAGGGTTTGTTTCTAAGTAATAACTTGGTGCGTTTTTAGTCACTATATTATTTCCTCCCAAGTTAGAACGCTGAAAAGAACCCCAGTTATCTTTATTAATCAGCATTTCTCAGGCGGAGCTCTCTCATTAAAAGTGTTCACAATGGCAGCAAATCATGAATGAGCCCAATAGTTCTGTTCTCAGAAATCCTCATCTATTCTGGTGGATGGCATCATCACAACAGTTCAACCAGCCAATGTTAATTCAGCTTCAGCTACTGGGCCAGTTTGTTTCCTCTCCCAGTCCCTGGGTGGATTGGGAATTGCAACGTAGGCGGCTGGATGACTCTATAGGGAAAGGACTATTGTAGACTGAAGGGACATTGAGTACCAATTTGGAGACCTGGACTCCACTTGGGGCAAAATAATTTTTTTTTTCCTAAGAAAAAAAATTCTTCCTAAATAAAGTAAAAAAAATAGGATGAAATGCACCCAAGATGAAACATGTTTTCATTTTCTCATTCAACTCCTGCCATACCCAAACAAGGTCAATGACAAGCTAACCACATCAAGAGAATATCCCCCCACCCTCTTCTTCCCACTCCCTTCCCACCCACCCACCCTCACCCCTCACACCCATTTCCCGCTTCCTGTAAGTAAGGCATCTTCATGCTGGTAAACATTTGGGGACCAACTGTAAGCCTGAGCCTGAAAGAGGGGCACTGGGGCTTTGAAGCCCTCCCACATGTCTCAAAGCCAGGCTGAGAACTAGAGGGACACTTGGTTTTTAAACTTTAACAGCCTTTTCAACTCACATCACTGGGCTTGGCCTTCCGGCTGCCTTCCTTTTCAAAAGCCGGACAAGAAGAGCGAGTATGCGTGTATGAGTGAGAGAGAATATATGTATGACACATGCTATGTTACAATGCAGCCTGTATGTGTCATTGGTGTGATATGTGTATGATATGTTTCGATGATGCGTTGAATCAATTTAAAAATAGCACAAGCTTCCTTCTCATGACACAGCTCACCTCCCCAAAACTTGTGACAAACATAGTCAGGGCCTAAACTTTGGGACGGTGAATTTTGGGGGCTGTTGGATGTTTTGGAATGAGGTCAGTGTTTTGACTTCCTACATAAGGGAAACAAAAATTAAGTAAATTGAAGAACCTAAGTAGAATGCCCTTCCCTCCCTAGAAATGAAGATATAAATGTTCTTCAGAGGACTTTATAAAACCCACAGGATGTCCGAGGTCTCAGAGTATTTATAGAACCACCTGTATCATTACATCTAAGTATGAATATCTTTTTTAGCCCTTCCTTCAGAAAGACAGTTGTGTTCTCATCTAATCATTTATATATGATTTTTAAATTATTCCTTTAGTTCAGCATCTACCAACTTAATAAATGAAAATAGCAATACTAATCATTTCCATATGACTCGTGGAGAAACCAAGCTTTGGGGTTTCCAATATTTGCTTTCCCTTCTAATTATGTTTTTATCATAGTAAATATTCAGACAGAAGAATTTTAATTTCTGAAAGATCTGTGGGAAAGAACAGGAGAAGGAAGGTTAGTTCAGAACCCGGAAGACATTTCCTAAGCTTACAGTTGGTGGGGGAAAAGGAGCCGTCCTAAACTTAAACTAACAGAAGGCAAAACCTGAACTGTTAACCAGGGAGAAAGGCAGCAACAGGAAAGGGGTGCACTCTGAAACTCATCTCTTTATTTGGAGAAGAGGAAGAGTAGCTTCCATACAAATGCGAGAACAAGACTGTGGGTCAAATGTTTGCTTCTCTCACCTTTCAGCGGGAGGAGAAGCCATTCTGGAGGAGGGGAGGACTCAAGGTGGAAATAAAGGGAAGGTCGCCAAGAATAAGATTAAGGAGGGCCAGCTGGCTTAAAAACGAAGGCCAAAGGCTTCTTGGGAGGATGAGCAGAAACAGCAGTGGAAGACCCAGTGCAGGCAGGAGCAGTCCCCTTAGAACAGGACATGGGACCCTACAGTTGCACCTGCCACTGTGTGCTTCCCTGAAACCACAGAATATTAACCAAAGGACGCAAGAGGTTTTATTTAAAATGAGACTGACGATTTTCTCTCACTCTTTCTAAGGGAAGATCAAGACTGCAGAGGCTTGATTTTTTTGGCGCCAAGGTAAGTTAGGATAGAAGAAACAGAATTACAAAGGTTAATCATGAAATCATTTGACCACCCCCACGCCCCAACTCCCTTTCTGCTCCAAAGGGGATTTAGTATCCAACCTAAGTCGAAGAACATATATCCCGTCCAACGCTTCATTTTCCTGCTGAGGAAACTGAGGACCAGAGGTCAGGAAGCAGAAAGGGCATCTCTCCCAGACTCTTTTTTGGTAACTGGATCTTACATACAACTGCGAACCCGGGAAATGTCAGCCCACAGGCAGGGTTGCAGCTCAGGGAGCAAGACCAGAACCTGGGCTCTCAGATTTCCAGCCAAGCTTAGGGTTCTGCATTGGCTCCTGAGCACCTACTGTACCTAAGGGACACGAGGG